AGTATGAAACTTTTATTGCAGCACTTTCTTTGTCTCGTAAAAAAGCCGATTCAAAACTCTTTTATGGTATATATAATTATGCGTGAAATCTGATCGAATATATTAAATTTATATTTTAAAATAATTTGTATTATTGTTTTCAAGAGTAAGTTTTCAAGTAGGTCATTCTTCGGATTGAAGATTACTCCACCGATATATTTTTATGTAAATTTATCCCGAAATACCGTTTACATATAAATTCGGTTTGAGAGCAACGAATTACTTTGGATAAACTCAAAGCCGAAGCCTTGTCTCCCGAAACATAGAAGAGGGAAGTTTCGACGAATATAACTCCGAGAGTTTGGAAAGCGTTGGCAACAATTCCGAAATCTATCAGCCTAGAAAGCATAAACACACACACACACACACCACACACACCACACACTTTTATACATATTTCTCAGAAACATATATATCGTGTCTCTACACAGTAGAGATCAATATTCTCTCATTTTTAATGTTAAACGTTCTTACAATTTATACTTCTCATCAAATTTTTATTAAAGAAAAGTCGAATCAATATTCATCGAAGAAACCGTAATTTTTTATTCATTATTCTGTGATAATAAAATCTATATGTGTACATATAATTGTACGTATAACGTGTTAAATAGTTACGTAATTTTAAATAATTATCTCAAACTTAACAAGCTTTTAATTTGTAATTTAGTTAAAATAATTTATTAAAAACTATTTATCGATAATTTTACGAAAAAATAAACTGAATATTTATGCTCGTTTCCATCAATGTAGATTAACTTTAATCTTAGTTTTACTTACTTTTTATCTCTTTCTCCAGTTCTAAAAATTAGAAAAAGATGAAGAGGAAGTTGAACCCGAGATTAAAGTTAATCTACGTTGATGGAAATGGGCATTAGTCAATTAAAAATTATTGAACGTCGCGAACTTTCATTAATTATTTCCATAATTTCATTTCTCTAATTTTTCAGTATTTAAGAAGATAGTCCTTCGAAGCTATGTTTGACGGTCCGATTATGTCTTATCGACGTGGCTTGGCGTGCGGTGCGATGAAATTGGGTCATCGTACGAAATTGCTACCACCTAAAACGAAATTATTCCGCGAAATTTCTCGACGCTGGATACGGTCTATTTGCGCGATATTAAGGACGCTATTAAGTTGGTTCCAGTTCCGAGAAGGATAGTACCGATGGTACTACTAATTTTTAGCCAATTAAATAATCGATTTGCCTTTCCAGATACGCTGCAAAACGTTTGTTTAAATACCTAAGTTAGAAAATTGGTCGATAGATTACATGGAATTATTATCCAAATGCTCCTAGAACAATACACAATTTTTTATTAAGTCTTAAAAGCGGCGCATCTTAAATCTTTCATAATCAATTTTACATGAAAAGAGCACTGTAGAAATTAAGACACTTAAATGATTTTACTAATATAACATGAATATTAAATTAGAACAATAAGAATATCTTTTATAAGTATAATGTCTTTTATATATAAAACAATTTACTATAATAATATCCTAAATCTAAATCTTATTATATCACATCCTAATCTTATTTAAAATTAATAGATATCTATTAGGTAAATATCTATTAGCTAGTAATCTTATTTAAAATTAGGTAAGATTTAAGAATTAAAATCCTAATCTTATTATATCACAAAGATCAGGAGCATCAACTTGCCGATTAGCCGTGTGAAGTTGGACCAGCGTTGCCATATGAAAAATGAACATGCCCCCGAAGCGAAAATAAACTTTGAACTCTCCTTTAACCGGTCACTACCAGTTGAATATAACGATATCTTTCTAATAATAAACTAATTTCTTCATTGCAAATTCTATCAAGAATCACTAGGCACTACAAAATCTCTACTTTATTACATATCTCCCTCTACCCGAGACAATCTTCAAAATCCCAGAATGTAGGTACGGATAATAATGAGGTAACTCGCTGAAATATTGTCCCACAGATTACATAATTTCATTTGAATTCATACGATTTCATCTATTTACAAATAATTTTCTTCACTACATATGAAGTCATTTGCTAAAATAACCGATTTTATCTAATGTTACACAATGATTTCTCGTGATTGCATACGTAATTGTCGGATTATACATGAGGATTTCATATGAATTTTATAATGATTTCGGGGACATTGCCTCACGATTACATTAAGTGATTATCCCCTCGGATAATAAATTATTGAATGCGCAGCACTTTTCTGCAACAATTCATCGTCAAAAGGTTAAATAATGAAATACAAGAAGAAAAATGTTGGACCAATCACAAACGAGTCTACGCGTTGGCTCTGATTAGAGGGTCTAGTTCTATCCTTGTTTTAATGTCTAATGAAAAATAAGTATATAGTGACGCGATAGTGCTGACAGCGCGCTCCCCGAATGCCTCAATCTACTCTACGAAAAGCCATAGATTACTAGCAATCTTTTATATTCGCGGAGAAAAATACGGACTACGTTACAAAGGAAAGGACAATCGCGTGGATATTTATCGACCGCGCTCAGTTCGCTCAGTAATTGAAATTTGAAAATAAAAGTTACAAAACAATTTTACTATTTTTGTTCAACATTAGTTATTTAAAAAAATTGTTCATATGTGGAATTCCACACACGAAAAATATTGACGTATGGAGTATTCCACACACTCCCCGCAAAAGTTGGCGCCCATGACAAAAATCATCGTATTATAGTTGGAGTTTATTCATCACTGACACGGATAATAAATTATCGCTCACAATCAGCAAATGATTTTCAGATATTATGGAAATAAAGACAATCTTATATTCTATACAAAAATCAGACAGCGCCTGCAACAACAAAATTTATCATAGTCGCTGTTTCTTCGGAAACTGATGCGCTTTACGTCCGTCCGGCAAGTCTGTTTCCGTAATGTGACACAAATACATATTTATTACGTGCGCAAAACGCGCACGTAGCTCGTAAACGTGCAGACCTTTGAGATTTATTCAACTTTATTCTACCCCTCTCGTTACATTATCCATGATCGATCCTCAAAATATATGTATATATGCCTGGCTTGACCATTGGTAGTCATCTTTCTTCTGTTCACTTTTATATAAAACATATGTATCTATAGATTTTCCACATTCCTCTATTATACATTAGCAAGAGATCACGTACCGTTATTATATTTGCCATTAAGCTGTTTTAATCAGTCAGAATAATTCTGCGTAAATGTACAATTGACGTGAATCAATTATACAGTGGATATATTATAAATTTTTTCATAATTTTTACACTTTTCTTTAATCCTTCAACCATCAATTTTACACTTATAATATTTAATTGAGGATAATAATTATCTTTACCGAATAAATTTTATTAGAGAATGAATATTATTAGAGATATTTTTTACATATAAAAAATAAAGAGAGGGTGAAAGATTCATATAATTTCAATTCGATGAATACTGTGTTATTCGTTGTCATAAATTCTCTTGACATTTTCCATCCATGGCTGTGTTCCAAAATTCACTACCAGCGATGAAAATCTACAGTTTACATTACGTATACTGTACATTTTTAACACTGACAGTAAATTTTAGAACACAGCCCTTCTGTACCGCGCAATGCACATAAACAAATGATTGACAATTCTTACAAATATTTTTAATGTTATGATTCATAATATCAATTATGATTCATATCAATAACGCACACATGAAAATGTGCAACAAGATTTATACCCAGGATACCTCAAAAGAACGCATGCCCGCACATGGATAACATAACCGTCCAACAATGATGAAAGTACGTAGGCGTTAACATATTTTTTTAATATTAAAACATCATTTATTAGAAACTAATTTCGTATTGATAAATGTATCTTACATCCAAAAAATTGCTTATTTCATTTCAATCAAATTAAATTCTAAAAATAAATTTAGTTTTACTCGAATTGAGTCTTTTAACATAGGTTTAAACAAAGTTCTAAAACATTACTCTTATTGAATGTAAATAATTTATAAAATATGTTATAAATATACGTTAAATGATAAAACAATAAACCATCAAATAATTAATTTTTAAAAGTTTGTATATAAATTTTAAGTTTTATAAAATGTAATATGTAAGAAATCTATAAAATATGGGTGAGAAGAAATTTAAGAATTTAAAACTTAATTTAATTCACGAAATTACTATAGTGGTTTAATTGTGTTTAATCCGGAAATATTTCGGTGCACAGTTCGTTAGACTACAATATATGTCAAATACATATATATCATATTTAGTGATTCAAGATTGATTTATTTAAAGCATTTTAAGATCTAATCTTCGATAGAAGTATAGAACTGTTATTTATTGATTGTATCTCTCACATACGCGGTCTAAAAATGATATTATTATTTAAAATTTAAATAAAGTGCAAATGAAGATGTAGGTAGATAAATAAACAAATCTGAGTTAAAATAACACATCACGAGAACAAAGAACCGGTCTAGTGTTGTCTGAGAAAATAACAGCGCGTTGACTTTAGATGGATTGCGGATTCGCAGTATATAGTTACCACGGAAATGGGAGATTATCTATACTCGACACAAATGTTATTATCGCTAGTCCTACACCATAATAAGCACGATAATTTGTTCAACATGATCACCATTGTAACCGCATACCATGAGTGTATAGGTATTATCTGTGTATATTCTATGTACACACCTTACGTTGTAAAATGATATTAATTGCGAAGGTTTACCGCGAGAAATCCCTTCGTACTTTGATCGATTGTCGTACGATTCTCAATGACGAGATCTCATCAGATCTCGCTGCGAAGGCTGGTGGAGGGGCAGGGGAGGGTACGTATGTAAAAAAAAATCCTTTTGAAAAAAAACAGCCGAGTGACAACAGGAAGTGGGACACTTTGTAGTCGGTGCAGTGGGTGAGAAATAGTAAGTGAGACGTATCCAGCAAGTGAACGAGTGGCGGTGCATACTTACGTCCCGTTAAAGGGTGCATCAGAGCGGGGTGCGAGGTGGCTGCTGCAGCGGCTGGTTGCTTGGGTTTGCTAACCTTTGTGTTACTTTTTGCAAATTCCAAACGTATGGTTTGTGGCATATCAGGATCGAATCTAACCCCCTGCTGCAAATAGATTCCCTAAATTAGTAAATTGGGAGCACACGTGGATGGGTGGTGGTAGTGTAGTAAGGCAAAGATGAGAGAAAGAAAAAAAATGAAAAAAAGAGAGCGATAGTGGAGAGCCATTCTTTCGTCACTAGCGTTGAGTTAATCTTCCATCAGAAATAAAATTACTTTTTGTTCTTGATAGCTTTTAGTAGATCTTGTTTTTCTAGGCATATTGTGTTTCTTTTCACAACAACTTCTTAAAAGTAATCCTTTAGTTGAAAGGCAAAGAATTGTAAATTATCTTTAAAGAGTTTTCCATATATTGTATATCTGACTTTAAACAAAAATTAAGGTACTGATAGTACAGTATAAAAATATTTGTTATTTTATGTACAAACGTTTATATATGTAACATATGCAATATCTTTTCGACAACTGTGATAATATTTCTCATATAATTTCCTGCAATTCTATCCTTAGTAATATAACAATAATTTCTACAAAAACATTGACAGATCACGCTAGCCATTCCAATGATGTCCGTCACGTTTTCAAAAGTGATTTATTTTCCGTTTATATATTTTACTGACATCGTTCATTTTGCACCGTAAATTTAATACGAAAGTAAGCTAGATTGATGTTTACGAAAATATAAACGTTAATCGATATTCCATAAATCGTCATATTTAGTCAAAATAATTAACTTCTGTTTATTTTAGAACTGACAGTGCAAAACTGTAGAAACAAATATTACATACATTACTTTCTCAATATAATCATAATAAAACAATGTAAAATTAATTATTTATATATATATATTCAATTATTTATTAATCATTATAAATGTATAAAAATATATCGGTAACGCCCATAAATCTATACAAGTGTTCATTTAATACATGTTGTATTTCAAATTGTAGAAATTATTAATTTTATCATAGATATCTTCATTCTATCAACAATATCTTTTACTATAAATTATTTAAAATTTTTGAGAACTACGCACATATGAATATACATATAAAAAAAATTCTCATTGATTTATAAAGAAAAGAGTATTGGAGACTCAAAAGCCAAATGCAGCGTTCAGCAGAGAAAATTAATCAATTACCGCCCAGTGATTCTTCAATATATATATATATATATATAATTTAATATATATATAATTCTTCAATATATATAATTGGTTCTTACACTTAGATTCAGTGAAGAACTAAAGGCAAGAACCAATCATATTAAAGAATTACTAATCGCTAACTGATTAATTTTCTCTGCTGAACGCAGCCATACATATTGCGCGTGCGAAATCAAACCAAAAGAACCGATCGAATCACAGATGGCTAGCGACGAAAGTGATGTAGGTATAATAATAACATGGGATTATGCCAGGTAGAAGGAAAATTAGCACAAGGGCGTGTAGATATGTATTTATGTATGTATGTAAGTGTGTGTTTTTCTCCTTGTACGTGTATTCATAAAATGAGCTCGTTAGTTCGTTCTAGGGTGTTTTCAGCGAACGTGACCATCCGACAAAAGGATGTTTCTCTACGCGGTACGTACATACATACGTAGTATACCGTTGCCATACTTGGGTTATATAACATTGCAAATTGCGTGAGGTCAGTTGCAACGGTATGGTAGGTCTATACGGGGTGACCAACTTAGCCAGAAAACTCGATCTGATTGCCGTCGTGCAACAAAAGCTGTAAAGCTATTCCGCGCCCGAATTATATATAGATATGCTAAAATATATCGCGTGACGAAGTACGAACGTTTTTTAAATCAATGTTGATCACCCCGCAGATATATGTATTTACAGATACATATATACGTGTTACATATAAATATATTCATATTTCAAATGATTAATGTATTCATAGTTATCGCTTTTACAAATAAAAATTATTTTTTAGCACGAAGTGAAATATTATGTTGTGTGTAAAAGTTTCAAAAATTTTAACATTTAAAAATTTTAAAACTCTGGAGAAAATGCACGATGTGTAAAAATCTGAACGTTTAATCCAGGAAATTAAGATATATAAGCTATTACAAATATTATATTTTAAATTTATATATAAAGTAATTCCTTTTTTAAATTTGAGAGAAAGTGATTTATCAGTAAGATCATGTATCTATTCTTTTGCCATATTCTATTACAATCTACAGATAATTTCTTTCGCAAATATCGGAAAAATTTTTTGAATACATTTAAATATATGTATATGCAACGGGATGACACTTGTCAGGAAGGCAAACAACATCATATATAAATATATCGATAATGCCACACGGTGCAGCGTTATTACAATACGCCTTGGTACGTATACAGGTAGACAAAAGGTAGTACTACGTTTGGTCCCAATGAGAGAAAAAGAGAAAGATAGAGAGAAAAAGCTACGGTAGAGAGAAATGAGTAGTTAGATAGAGAGGTCTCGTGGATGTAGTAACTAATGGAGGTAAGAGCTAGAGGTAGCATTAACCCATGCCAGCTGGAGAATCTAAGGCAGGGTGGAGTCGTAAAGAAAAAAAATACTGCCGGGCATATCTGTACGAGTGAGTGTCACTGTGTATGTATACTATATCAACCGCGCGTCAACCCTGAGAGACCCTTGCGAGGGCCTACCACCTTCTCCCCGGCTTTTCCTTGCCTCGCGATGCCTGCGAGAAAAGGGCTATTACCTGTAAATCCTGCTTCGCCGCCTCCGCGCCTGCTCTTGTGTGAAAAGTCACGAATCCCACCGGCTGAAATGAGAAAGAAGAATACAAGAAGCATTTCGTTAGTCGCATCCACGATTAGCACCTCTCTCTCTCTCTCTCTCTCTCTCACACCCCTGGTGAGCATTCATTACGCGAGCGCTTCATCGCCGCTATTAGTTTGCCCTCGAACGAGCTTAGAATCACCAACGCGTTTCTGCCATTTGTATCATTGTTTTCATTTGGGAACGCTTGTCGCATCGTTCATAATAAGTACCTCAGTGAAATAAAAAATTGCTATAATATGCAAAATAATCCGCGATTATCGCATAATGTTAAAAATAAATTCCTTGTTTAATTTTAACAATAATGCAAAAGTCTTCATAAAAAGATATCGATAAAGATCATCTCAATAATTTTTTAACTTATTAAAATGATATTAAATAGCTTGGGTTATAAGATTATAAGAGTCCGTTGAAATAAAATAAACTTATATAGAAATTTTGTGTTATTTATTTGCATTTCTGAAACTTTATTCGCAAACAATGTCTTCATTTTTATTTCTTTCAGGGTATCATCCAGAAAGCGAAAGATCCGAGTTCAATTCCCGACTCAATCGATCGCGCTTATAAATTAATTTTCATTTCTTTCAAATTTTTATATTTAAACAAGAAAATTAGTTATATACTAATTACAAATTACCGACTGCATAGATATTTCATACAATTAATCTTCTAAAATTATTTTCAGAACGTATCTGGTAAGGTGGAGTCAGATCCAACCAGATGCTCCATTTTATTCATCTAATAAATGGATAAAGAGGTAATTAATAGTATAAAACTTCTTCCCTTATATTTCTAAATGAAAATATATACACAAGCAAAAAAGGCTATATTTGATCAAAAAATATACCATATAGAGATATCTAATAATATTTTTAAGTGAATTTTATTATTCAAGTAAAAAAAATACAATAAAGTTTACTAATTAACTGTAAAAAATTGCAGTAAAATAAAAAGTACTTTGACTGATGAAGTTGTAGTCATATTTGATGACCCTTACCTTGCCATTAAAAGGTTAATAATACCAAATTTTTTTAAAAATAACAACATACACGTACATTCAATTCATTCTTTTAAATAAAAAAAGAGAGAACAAGTATAACTCCTTTAATCAAATAAAATTCTGAATTCATTATTGCTAATCATCTAATTATTTTATCTTAAAAGTAGAAATGCAATAATTCCGATATCATGTAAGAATTACAATAATTCGTTTATTTCTTGCAGAATATAAACTACTAATAAATGTAATGCAAATTAATTAAGTATATCATAAAGAAATAAATTATTTTACTTTTTCATGATAATTTTTCAATCATAATTTTGTAACAATATGCAATAAATCCAATAAATGTAAAAAGATATTCTATTATCAATATACATAGTGAATCAGAGTAGTTGAACCAGTTTTTTATTCTACCAAAAAATTATCGATCTCACATCTAATTAGCGATACAGATCAGTGGATACATCGTACAAATTGCTGAGTGTATTGAGAAAAAGACGCATTTTTAATATCTTGTAACAATTTTCACAACTTAACGTCAAACGTGCCTGTTTTCGCGCACAAATCAGCAGTTCGCACGATATTATCCATGCATCCGATTTGCATCGTTAAGTCGGTAATTAGATGTGTAATCGATAATTTTCTCAGAAGATAAAAAAACTGGTTCAATTACTCTGATTCACCCTGTATATCTCTAGAACTATAGGATACAGCAGGGTAATTTGAATAATTTCAAACATTTTAAACAATTTCTCGAAAAATAATAATTTTATCGTTACTTTGAATATGTAGCAGGAAACTCACATGTTTAAAGAATATTTACCTAAAGTATAAAAAATTAATTCTTAAATCTTGAGACGTAATGCCATTATTCGATTTTTCTTACAATTTTAATGAAGCTCAATTTTGAGGGGTAATTTGGATATCTTAAAGGATAATTTGAATAACATTGAAAATGAATATTAAAATTACAACAAAAACCAATTTTATACTAAAATATTTGAACTCATCCATAATTTGGCCTTATGTACATACTTTCTACGTAGATTTCATAAAAGTTTAAGAAAGCAGGATATATTCTTATAAACTGCAGTAATAACGAAATTCTCTACCTACCATGCTTAATATAAAACTCTCCACAAACTTCCAGATACACAGATATCTTTTCAAACCTACATGAATATGTAGAGTAGAGTATCTTCTTTGCTGCTAACCCCAAATATAAAACATGGCGTCTCAAATTTTTTTGAAATTCTTGAAAAACGTTTACTATTATCCAAATTTTCCCGCTATTCAAATTACCCCGCTATATCCTAGTTATATTATAGGAAATACCTTACTGACCAAGATTATCGAGAAGTTGCATTCTCTCTTTTTTGGTTGTGCTTGCACTGTTGCATTTCTCAATATATATTCGCCCTTTTACCTGCGCGCGCGCATTCGCTAATTTATTCCGTAGACAGCATCGATTCCATCGGTTTATACGAAATTAACGGAACAACGAGGACGATGGAGCATCGCGACGCGAAAATGCGCCGATTCACACTAACGATCGCCCATCAAGGCGAACCTATTACGCTTCATAATGTATCGCGTGATTGCACCAACTGCAATCGAAGGTGTCGATTCTATCGATGTGAAAGATAGAAATACCCGATCGTTAACGCGGAGATTCGTTACTCGATGCCGTTTACTTCCGCGCCACATCCCTCGAATATTCATGCATCCGAAAGAATAAAATTGGATCCGACTCGATTGGGTGCGCGCAATATCAAAACACAGAGGCGCCGTGAAAGAGGAAAAGTTAGAATGCAAATGATATTTAGCTGTGTTCGTAAAATTATAAAAAAATTTCTCAATAACTTTCTTTATCTCTAAGATCACATTATATATACATATATAGAATATATACATACATATATGTATACTTCCTAAATCTTTTAGAGAGAAAATTAGAGAGTCAATCTAGAAAAAAGAGTCAAAACTTTTCAGAGTGACAGATTTTCACTCTTTTTCGGAGTGCGATTTACTCTAAAAGAACGAAATCTCACTCCTTTTTTTTATTTTTTTAGAATGGGACTTCATTTCTTAAAGTGACTTTTATTCCAAAAGAATGAAATCTCACTCTTATAGAGAGTGAAAATCTATCATTCTTGTTCAAGAGTGAAATTCTTTTCACTCTTTTTTCAAGACTGGCTGACTTCAATTTTTTGGAGTGAGATTTCACTCCAAAAGATTTAAAGAGTATATATCCTATCAACCAATAATTATTAATAATATTTCTAATATTATATATTATATAGTATTACAATAAAATACGTTATTAAACAATAAAGATAAATTTTTATCAATATTCCATCAGCATTTCTTAAATATTGTGCAATGAAATGAAACGTAACTGTGAAATTCTGTGAAATTCTGTGAAATAATTCCATGAGAAATTCAGGTTCAGTAAATTCGCAGTTACAGATCTTGAACTAATCACGGTTATCACGGTTAAAAGTACAAACGGAAAAAAGCGGACATGCCGCACTTTCACCTGGCGCACGTAACAGGCATTCAGCTCTCGCAACTGAACGCGGCGAGCACCACCGATCCGTGCCCGGTTTTTATTTTACGATGAATACCAATCCGTTTCCATCTCGTTTTGAATATCAGGTATAGTCACGCCGCGCGGGTCGCACGCGGGTGGCCGCGGCGTGCTTCCTTGCGTGCATCGCGCAAATTCGCGGAATAATTCTTTATCAGGACACGGAATACCCAAACGTAATACATATCGTCGTTTTACCGTCGAGCAGTTTTTTTTATCGATACGTGCATCGTGATACGATGTAGGTTAATGGTCATGCGTGCAACGGCCATGGAAACGATCGATTTCCTTCTTTCTCCTGTATTTTTCTTCTTTCTTTTTTTTTGTTACTGTTGTCGCACACCACACTCTTGATATACACGAACCGCGACGGCGCGACGTTGGCGTATCGGCTTTTCTTCCGGGCATCGGCGTTCTTTGTGCCGCGCGCCGCGCCGCGCCGCCGCGCCGCGACGACAACCCGTGCCCGTATGCACCATGGTCATGTAAATGCGCATGCAATTATGCATGTAACCCTAGATAGAGGCAGGTACAGGTACCACTTTTGCAACGCGGTCATGTATAATCGAAGGGCTTGGAAATTATAATAATGCCTACGCCATGAATTTTTTTAACAATTGTTCAGAAAATTGTCAAATTTGGATGCCCCGAACTTCATACGTGCTCCTCGAATTTTATTCGAGCACATTTGCAGAGAAAAAAAATGTTCTCTTCATAAAAAAAACCAATAAATGTATTCAAACGTAACAACTCAAAAGCAAAACGTAGTGGAATGATTGATGTATTCTTGACTAACTTGTATAACAAAATACATTTTCGATAAAAATAATGAAAGACGAAATAAAAGGCTCAGATATGTAAAAATCGAATAAATCAAGAGTCTAACTAGATGTTTATTGCTAAATTTTAAACAAAGTACAGTTTAAACAACAAACAACCTTCTAATAACCTTTAACCAAGTTATCGATGTTTTAATCTAAGAATTATGTGCAATATATAATTTTAAATAATTGTAAGAGTTATGGCAGCATAAAAACTTATCTATATCTAAATTCCAACGGCAATTAATAAACGCAAAATGTAAGACGCAATAGTACATTATTTTAAGCGATTCGAATTAAATTGAAAATATCCCATAGAGAAGTTTTCAAACTTGACTGACTTCGCGCATTTTTTGATAAAACTGTCTAGATAATAGTTACATTATATAAAATTATTATGAAAAGCCGTTGAAAAATAATACTTGTTAATTTCAACGATCGAAAGTTATTACATTGTCGCATTTATCCGATAATATCAATGTACAATATAATAACGAATGAAAAAGAGAGATAAAAGGTTTTTTAAAAACGAATAAACATTGCAATATTATCTACTTGGTTATTATAAATCAAATTTACTCCGAGCTCTGAGAGTAATCAGCTATGTTTTAAAACTAAAAATTTTCTCGAGTTAATCAATAGCAGGTGCGAGAGAGGTTTTTATCGGGGAACTGTAACCCTTTATTATTATACGATCGATTTAATCTTACTAAACTGAAATCAAATCGAGTTTAATCTGTGAAAAAAAAAAACCGAAAAACCTACAATCTCAATTGGATCAAGAGAAGATAAATTCTCGCGCTTGTAGATTTCCAACAGCAACTCCAAGACGGAGATAAATCATCATCACCGAAGTTACAAAGGAGCTTTGTACAAACTCCGCAATGGCACATCGCACTAGCTAACGGAAGAATGCAAGACAACAAAAGCTTCTAACAACATTTGAAAATCTTTTCAGGGCGTCGCCATTTTTGAGAAACTGCTCTTCGGCTGCTGCTTTTCGTTCGCGGCGCAACGATGACCGAAGGAAACAAATGGTAGAAAGGTTGGTCCGACCCGCTATCGATTCACACAGTCAGTCGTACCCAACCGTGCCAGTGGCCAAGGAGGTTTAAGCACCGTTCACACGGAAACCGTGCCTTCTCCGGCTGTGCCTATCTCGTCCGTTTTATTCGCATTCTGCCCATATTATATCCAATTACATCACCACGGCCATTACGAGCCGCCGCGGCCGCTTGCGTTCCGCGCTGGTTACAACGAGGTCAAGCTGCATGTAGGAACGAAAACATGTTATTAACTTTATTCCACGTGGTATATTTGCGGATTATCCCGATAATCGATATCAAATGTAGATGGAATTTAGAAAAATAGACGAAGAATTCGTTATTTCGACATTTGGCAAATAATACAAAGCTCGAAATTCATTAACGATAATAAACTGACATGAGTCTTTTATATTTAAAGATTTCCATAAATTTAAGGATTCACATCTACACACATTGTGTTGAAGTTCAGATTTGATGTGGTTAAAAATTCGCACAGCAGTAAATTGATTGATATACCCGAGAATATACAGAGGCAGGAATTGAGGTATATTCAAAGAATCCATATAAAGTAAAATTGATAGATTTCCATAGATAAATCCACTGATAAATGCGAAGTTTTATACCAAAAACTATAATTTCTCAGAGATTGATAGCTTCAAGAATCTTATAGCTCAGAAAACTTACAGATTTTAAAATTCATTATATCTTGCAATCAACAAATTATAAGCATGTGACTAAATTATGAATCTAAAATAAATTTTAATTCGTCGTCGCATCCCAAAACTCCGTAATTCTCATTATTCCTAACTGCCAAGAATAGCAGGTCAGAAGTTGAAGATTTGCTATACCCAGATCCATCGTAATATTTTAAACTTCCGTAACTCGACGTTCTTCGAATGAAATGAGATTCTTTAGTAATCAATACAATCGTCGTAGTTTTATTTTAGAAAGTCGTAATATATCTATTGCGCGCGAGATACAGGTAAAGTCTGGTAAAGGATACAGAATTAAAAAGTAAATACTAAAATAAAAAATATTAAAATGCTTTATGGATTAAGGACTTTACAGCGTCAGTATGCTCTCGCGTGTGCTGTTCCACCGTCGCCGCATAAATTAATGTTATCTCGGGGGATTATACTGGGTTGAGTAGTGCTCGCGATGGCATTGCCGCATGATGAAATTTGATGTATTTCTCTCTGTCGGCTGATTAGATATTTTTAAGGCTTCGTGACTCACGTAATCAACGAGTACACTTTGAATAAATAAAAAAAAGCTTTTAGCATAAACAGCTACCGTTTTTAATTTTTCATTTAAAAACTGCAGTTTTAATTCTCACGAGTTCGAAAATTATTTAATATGAAGTAGTAAGACATCAAAACACTTTTTATTCTTATATATATATATATAAAACGAAAATTATTTATTTTTACGATATTTTGCAAACTGTTATTTTAAAAAAGAAATTTAAAATACAAAAATATTATATTATGTTTTTTATAATTTGTAGAACGAAGTTATTTTACTTATGAAAATTTTAAGCAAATATATAATAAATGACAATGTATTATACAGTTCTGTAAATAAAAATAGATCGATAAAGAATTGACAAGAATGTATAACAGAAAATGCACGAAATCACGCAAACTCCCTTGTGGTCCAAAAATTCGATCGAAACTCGTGGTTTGGCTGACAAACTTTTTCCATTCGTTTTTTCCCCTTGAGAATTGTCATGCTAGAGAGAGAGAGAGAGAGAGAGAGGGGAAGAGAAAAAAAGAGTTTGCGCTATTTTTACTACTCCGTGTAATTGATTCGGAGTTTTTTTGAAATATACGTTTTCTAGAAATGTGCTCAAGAAAAGCCGAGATCCAATTTTATTTCTTCGTCTTCTCAAGTCTTCTCAATAAAGAAACGACATATATCGACAGTATCGAGCTACCTCGCGAATCTAGGGCAAATATATCTATGTTAAAAGCTCGATAACACTTTTTCGGTATGAATGTTAAAAACACTATATTGAAAACATAACATCGGCTAATCATATTGTCAATTAAGCGATGGCAACTTACCGATGCTGTTTTCCCATTTTTACTCGTGACTTTTAACAGCGACCCTTCGTACCCCTGGAACAGGAAAAAAATATCACGTCATTAAAACTTCACATTATATCAAAATACTGTTTGCAACCGACATGGTTAAACAAAAAATTGACTAACTTTATATGAATTTGATCTGTATATATTTTATTTTCGTTTAAAAATAAAACAAAGATCTGTATTGTTTTATAATAACTTATACTTATGTAAAAATGTGAAATAAGCATTAGAAAATAGACACATGCAAGTCTATTTTAAATAGTATAATATAAGATAAAATAATTGTGCTTTCATTTTTTGAAAAATTTGGGCAGTTTTAAAAAAAATTTTTAATATATAATATATAACTTTTTGAAATAAGAAACAAACATCATAATGCTCAATTAAATATTAAAAACTAACAATAGATAATACTTGCAAATAACTAATAGAAATACAGTTTCTAGTCTAAGAAATTATTTTAAAAATATAATACACATACAGTATATACGGTTCTGACTTATTGTTAAATACGCTCAGCGCACGAGTCTTTAGCAGTAAGATTTACGGAGACTATTCGGAATAGTAAAGAGCACCAAATGAAAAATAAAGCAAGACATTCACATATTTTATTAAATATCTAACACACATGCTAAGATATCCGTGAATTTCTTAACGGCTATCACTTGAATTATCCACCGTTAACGTGCTCTATTCCATTTCCTGATACGAGAAAAGCCGTGTAAGAGAGTTTTTAATTTCCTACAATCTTAATGCGTAACACTTCGTTATTGCGCTATCGAGAATCTTGTTTCATGCAGCCGCTAAAGATAAAGGAATCTTTGCAGTGAGGTAACGTTTCCGTAATTTTTATAATAGAGCCTCAAGTAGAACGCGCGAGATGAGCACTCGGTTACATGCGAACACTGTAAGTAGTATTCATTACCAGAGTACCAAACTGTTAATAATTGCACGATCGCGATGGAAGTGCTAATTAACGAAGCCGCAATTAGAGAGCGCGGTAAGTCTCGGAACGTTTATCCAACGTGCTACGTTTTTCGAGTTCAAACACTTCAAACTTGCATACGCGAGCAATAGCAAAAATGCTCTCCACACCATTTTCCAGAGATTTCCAAGTATTAATCATCATTTAATTGTAGCTGCAATTGTAATTATCCAATATATATATATTTAATAAAAATAAAAATAGAATTAAATATTTAGTGCCAAGACAATTTATAACTTTAGTTAACAACAAATTTTAAATAATTAATTCCATTAATTGTCTTCTATTACAATTTTTTATTAAAAATTTAGACGTAGACACATATGTTATTAATTATCATTTAAATAAGTTAGAAAGTTTAATGATAAATTTGAATTTCACCTAAATGTCTCACTTTAGACGCATGGATCGATGTGCGAAATTTCCCAAGTATCTGTTACAACATTCTTGGCACTCACGAGGTTCTTAATCTTGCATCATTAATCAGCCTGTCCTATCCATGAAATATTACTGCTTAATTTTTATAGCAAATAAAATAAAAATTCTTAAGTTTGAATTTAAAATTTAATTTTGTACTATAATAATTATAGGAATTAATAATTGTATTTAACTGAAATCATATCAGATTGGTTAATCAATTTCCTGCTATTTCTTGCGTTAAGAATATAATTAATGCACACGATATTATAAATTTCAATAATAAAAATTTCATTGTTTGTTCATTCAAAAAATATATGTCTTAAATCTCATCTTAAATATATCGGTACGTTATTATATTTCTAAGATATCCATTTCAACATTCTTGGCGCTGAGTTCAGTGTCTTGCACATAATTAATTAACTTCCCTTAACTATGAAATATTACAGTCATTAAAAGACTGGTCTCGCGGGGGAGCATAATCAAGTTTTCGTCGTCACTCGCATACGTTGTGCTCACACGATACATACAATGTGCAAATAGTTCCTGCACTTCTCCGAAAGTTTCTCGGTAGTACGAGACGTTGGCGAACTGATCCGCCTGGCTTTCCTTTCGGCGCGGCGTGCTGAAAATTCGTCGTAAATCCATGGAAAACGGGTCGCACGGATTATGCACAACGTATAACGTTACGATATCTCAAAAACGATTAATAACTGGATTCGCGCAACGGAATTCTTCGCACCAAGAGATTTGTGAGCAAAAATAACGCGCGTGGTGATGCTACTCAAGGTTTATTGTTTGCGGTATGTCGCCAGTTATGTGTCATATCGATGCCAAGAAATCGCGTTCTCTTTTGATACAAGGAGCTGCAGTGATTTGCATGCAGAAGACGGCCGCTGTCAATATACATCACTCCCACACCGCAGTCGATGCACACTGTATACAAGACAATGCACATTTCTGCGTTCAAGATGTTTGCAGTCTTTCTCGTAATCAATTTTCAGAATTCCGATCCTCGATTCTTGTCATTTCAATAGAAGAGCGATTTTAATAATAATTTCTACTTTTTTTTTATTCAACAGTGTCACGTAATAATTTAGTATTTATTCGCGAAATAAAAAATTTAATTCGTATTATATGAAAGATACAAATGTATGAAAAGAACCGCGGGCGTATTTATGCACAGACAAGTTATTATATTATTTCTGATTGCATTATATATGGAACGCATCAGGTATCGTATTCAAAATTTGATCTGAGTCATAATAGAAGGCGAATAATGTATATTAATTATAAATGATTGAGTGAAAGCAATATGATGCATCGATCAATTTCTGGAATACGCGTAGATAACAATATTTCATTTTCTCGTTTTAATTTTAAACAAAGTTTACTTTAATAGGGTAGAGGAATGAAGATATAAGTATATATGTATATATATATAATTACATTTTTTAATTTGAAAAAATATTGAAAGGAACTGCAATTTACAGTAAAAAATTTATCTATAAATTTATATATAGAGAAATATAGAAAATAAAAAAATATAAAAAATATATTTCAATTGCAATAACGTTAAATCGATTTGCATAATCAATTTATACAAAGAATTTCACATTACTATGCACATTAATTTATATGTTAATAATTACGTCATTAAATCTTTTCAATTCACATATTCTATATTACTGCGATTATCTTTCAATATTAATAATATATTAAATCATTATATACTATATTAAATCATTATATAATAACTACCATACACTTACATATATAGATAATAAGATAATGCCAATTCGATATAACGCCTTTCAAGATTGCATAAACGCAATTTGTGAGTTCATCGACTATCCTTTCTTTTTTATTAGTCTATAAACCGATCAGAAAGGTACTATATTATATTTCGTCGCGTAAAATCATTATTTAAAGTGCCCCAGGATCGAAGAAATGCTCTAAAGAAGAGATGCTCTTTGGATGTCTTTATGTACATCTCGAATTGAAGGCGCAGCGCCCGCGGTACCGACGGAAAGGTAATTCTCAACACACCCATGCGACTAATTCTAATCCCTTTGAGCGAACTTCTCACAACGATTTCATGAATATACAAAACAAAGCTCGAAGCAAGGAGCAAAAAAAAACCGTGTCGCGCTGCGCCTTTTTCGTCGAATAACGACATGCTCGAGAGAACCTCCCGGATTTAACTTTCGAAGGAGATTTCCAAATGGAGCGAGAACAATTTCGCCGTTTTTCCATCTGTTTTTCTTTTTTCCTAGCAACAAATAACCGCTGTTTCTTTGCACTCATAGCCGTTATCGATCTAATCGCGATTGAATTTCGTCCCGAATGTACACGAAACTGTATTTAACTTTCACAAGCGTAATAAATTTTCTTAGATTCGTTGTTGATTAGAATTTCAATATTAATGCGGAAACATTAACTTGAGAATTATAATTAAATAGATTTGCTTATATAAATTTACTCTCCATTTGCAATCGTATTTTTGTTCTCCCCGTCTACAATCTGGATCTTTTTTGTCCAACCCAAGTTTCTTACTATTCTAGGCTTTCCAAAAATTTTCAAAAATTCAGAGCTATTTTACAATATCTTTATTATATTACCAAATAGTTTTTTAACTCAAATGTTAAAACCTTTGTATTTAATAAAAATTGAGAAATAAAGAAAAAATTTTTAAGTGTAATTTTACTTATGCCAAGAAAGATTTAGATTGCGGACAGAGGATTAAACATAGATATATCTTTCCTTCATAAAAAAAAACTTCCTTTTTTAAATTTATGCTTTTCTTCATTTACAAAATTTCATTTATTTACACTTACTGATCGCGTTTTGAATAATCAAAATGTAAAAAATTAAAAATGAGAGTTTTCGCACACACATCAAATTACAGGATAGGAAGAGCATCAAATTCCATGGCTATCGATTTTTCATCTCGACTGGTGTCGGAGCTCGAAATGCAAGCTCGTAATTGGCACCGACATAATTAACCCTCTAGACAAACTAAACTAGGATCCCGAGTCGAGCAAATATGACGTTATAGAGGAGTACCGTCTCTCCCCTGGCGGATGGTCGGCGTAGACGAATACGATTCATAAGGGGAATATTCCCCTTGTGAATACAGTTCGAACGCTTCAGTCATAATGTTGCGTTTCACATGAAACCACGAGAATCGTGCATCACGAGAACCACAGTTGAATTTATTGAACGATGAGTTAAATGCGGCGAAGAGTGGGACGAAGTAAAGGAAGATAATTGACGCGATAACAAAGACAAAAAGAAATTACCCAAAATCCGAAATATATGGATAAATATACAGCGGTGTGAGATCAATTGGCTCAGCAAAGAAAGCAGTTAATTATTTATTTTTATATTATATTTCGTACTTTTGCATACAGATATTTAGGCCCGTATTCATAGTCAGGTCTTATATTTAAGGCTTCCTTAAATTTATCTTTAGATGCTCTACGAATTATTTCATTGGCTACTGAGCATCTAAA